TTCTCACAGAAGTTGGAATCTATAGATTTATTGTTATAACTTACGAATTAAAAAAAAAACACTATTTTCTCAAATTAATAATGACCATAACAAATAATGAGAGTAAATAAATGTTTATTACTACTACAGCCGTACGTAATCGAATTGGATTTCGGATTCGGATTATTTCTGTCATCGCTAAATTCTCTACACTACAATCAATACTAGAATTGTCCTATAAATTAGTTAATAAGAAAATAATAATTTTAATCGAGTTCGATAATTATTTAAACCGATAACGATAGTTCCAAACTTTTCGCTATGCGCGTTTCTTTCGTCACTACGATACCTGTCTATTAAGTATGGCATTTGCCTTCATAGAAATTGAATTCGATACTTTATATACGTTATTTATCAAACTAATCTATTTTATTCAGACAAACTATAAAACACGAGGTCCAAGAAAAAAGTATAATTAAATTAACCTACGTTGAACAAATTGACAGATTCGGCCTTCTTTCTAATGACCTTGTAACACGTGTTACGTAGTAATAGAAGAATAACGTACAAAAACTTTATAACACCAAAAAAAGTTACTTGCTAATTTGTGAATGTACTCAAATAAGTAAATCGATTACATACATTGCTTTCATTATAACATCTTTACCGTATATTAAGTCACTCTTCTATTTCATAACTAAATTGCCCTACTTTAAGCAGGGTTATTTTCTTTGGGTTAGAAATGTGTGTTTATAAATTTGTCTTCTACAAGGGTTAAGTCTTTTGGCTTAACGTTTTTTTATTACCCGTATAATTTTTATTCCGTACGTTACTATCATCAATTATTTTCTTTTATAGTTGCAGTTAATGTAGAGCAGTGAAATATGTAGATCAAGTGCTTCTCGGTAATGCTAGCATCACACAATAGCACTGAATCTGAGCAGTAGACAATCCAGTACTGTTTTACAAATAATGCACTACAGCTTCATGTTCTGCCTCGTGTGATACCAGCATTACATCGCTATGCGCTTTCTAAGAGTGCAGTTTCACTAAATCAAGATATCAAATCGCAACTCGTGTCTGCACGCTTCGCTTGCTCTAACGTAATTTGTAGGCGATATTATAAATAGCTATGACATTAAATCTGCATTCCTGACACATATCATTAGCTTACTTTCTTATACTCGTTTACATAATAACTTGCTTATACTCGTATATTATTTAATAGCTGTCGCCGAAGACTACGTCCGACCGGAATTTAAAAATAATAGTAACCTATGTGTTCTTTCAGACTATACTTTACGACTACCAATTTCATGGAGATCCCTTCAGCCGTTTAGATAACTCCTAAAAACATTCTTGCAAACATACAAACATTTTGCATTAAGATCAGTAATTGGATTCTATATTTTGTTAATTTTAATCTGAAACCTACATTTTATACCGTGGATCTCTGTTTAGATGAGACCGTATTGTTTTTTATGTAATTTAAATTGTAAGTCAAGTCGCGAACTCGCAATTATCTTGCAAAGGGAACCTGTAACTCGGTAACAAAGTCGCCGTGGTGTACCGATTACGCAACCGGCCAGACGGTTTCATCTTTTATTGAATAACCAAATAAATTCTTCATTCCACTGTATAATTAAGCCAGCAACTTTACGGCACAAAAGGAAAGTTACACAAACTAAATATTGACCCAAAAAGTTTCTCCAAATCCGGGAATGAGACTCGTGTTTAAAGGATATCGAAGGAAATTGAATGAGGGTATACAAATTTTTGTTACTTTGTTAACTTTAGTTGAATTCGAACGAAGGGACCTTAGAAGTCATGATTGTTTTAACATTCTTTAACTTTTTCTGTATTGTGATAATTTTCTTTGATTGTAGATGATACTTTTGTATATTTCATTTTTAAACTTACTTTTATTCGCCTTTCAAATACATCTAAGCAAGATTTGATTTGTTGATTTTGAGAAAAATTACTACTTAATTTTTTTTTCTTTGCTTACCTACTTCACATTGATTGTTTAAGTTTGAACAATAATTAAGTGTAAAATCAAAATTGAGTGAATTAAAAAATACTAAAGCATGTTATAGTAGAGTGAAAACATCGATTCAGTTATACTGTAAAGTTTATTTTTACTGCGATAACCAATTAAAGTTGTTCGCAACATGACTGATTTGTTTACGCTTGTTAGAGATTTATAATAACACCGTGTTGAACAAATTATGAAATCAAGTGGGGTGTTTATAACAACGAACGATATAACGTAAACGAGAATACACAAGCCAGTAAATTAGAACAGTATATTGGATGCCAATTCACGAGACCGCGGCGGTGAGACACGTCAGTGTCAAATCTCACATCTTCCTCGTCCTCTCCCTTAAATTACATATTCATAGCTGTGACAAAAGTAACCATCGTGCTAGCTTCTTCCATGCCAGTTAGCATTACATGTCTATTACTATCATATGTATTCCCACCTTTATATTAATTTGAATTTGTTTTTTCGGTTCTGAAACTGCCGTGTGGTTTAAAAAAAACAAAAGTAAGTAGCCTATGTGTTCTTCCAGATCCTGTACATCTAATTCAAATTTCATCGCGATTCGTTCAGCATTTTAGATCACAAACTCTAACAAACATCCATCTAACCTGTCGCGTTTTTAATATTAGTAAGAAGTAAGATTGACTGAATTTTGATAATTTGCTTTTTTTGTACTATACCAACTTAGTCTAGACTTTTGCTAGGATATCGTTTATGACAAATTGAATGTCGGGATTCGAACTCCCGATATAATCAGAAATGCATACCTTTAATCATTAGGCTATTCGAAAACGAGGTTCCCTTAAACTGTATTTGATAGTCCGCGTCAAATAAAAAAGTAAAATAAAAAATATAGCCTATCTTACTTACTGATAATGTAGCTTTCTAATTGTGAAAGATATTTGAAAGCGGCTAATTAGTTTTTTAGTTATTTCAATACATACAAAACCACAAATCTTTCCTTTTTTTATAATAAAAGGGGCAAGCGGCGTGACCACCAAGGTGGTCGACGACGCCCATAGACATCCGTAACACCAGAGGAACTACAGATGCGTTGCCGGCCTTTAAGGTAATAGGCTTGCTTCTTGAAGGACCCTAAGTCGTATTGGTTTGGAAATACCGCCGAGGACAGACCGTTCCACAACGCTGTGCGGGGTAGACAGTTTCGCGAAAATCGCACGGTTGTGGAATGCCAGTTATCGAGATGGTGAGGATGCTACCTGGATTGGATTATCCTCTTTATTATGTTAGTATAGATAGATATAGATTATATGGTATTTTCATATGCGATCTTTTAACACTTGATATAGATGTTGACATTATAGAACCTGGATTTGTTATTTTAGGGCGGGAATCACTGTAATTACACCCTATGGATTTGAAATAAACATCGAAATATTCTATTTATAGAGTTAATCATCGGACTCACAAATGCAACCAATCGTTAAATACACGTGCATTCGTATGCTAACGAATTCATTGTCGCTTTAAAATACATTAATACTTTAACATCTGTTCACGGATTTATAGTCTGCATGCTAATGAAACATGGTACGCATTATTATTTGCGAATTAAAAGAAATTATTGTTTTATCAATAAAGTACATCTACCTAATATAACATATTTTTATATTCACGCGGAGGGATTCGTGGGAAAAATCTAGTTGATTATAAAAAAACTGTTCAAACTGCCCTTATTTATCAAACAAATAAACCAAACACTGTCAAAGCATAGTATATTATGCTTTTTGAATATAGTACGATCCTTAAGTTTTGGTGAAACATATTACGACAAAAAAGTAGAAAGCTAAAATGACAAAAGTTATCCGATCGCGGGATCTTAGTGTACAAATACTATAATCGGTAAAACAAATATTGTGACGAAAATTATCCACTCGTATAAAAGTGACTAACTAAATTATCGGAATCCATAAAATGGAATAAAAGTAATAAAATTTATTTAAACTGTGTACGGATTATGTAAATTGTAAACCGAATAATGAAATGTGATTAAAAGCAAACGAATTATTTAATACTAGCTTTCGCCCGCCACTCCGTCCGCGTGGTATTAAAAAAAAAACAAAAGTAAGTAGCATATGTGTTTTCCCAGTCTATAATCTACAACTATGCAAAAATTCATCCAGATCTGTTCAGACTTTTAGACTACAAACGTTAACAAACATCCAGACATCTAAACTTTAGCAATTTTAATATTAGTAAGAAGTAAGATTACAAATTTAAGAAATAAATCGTTTCCTTTCAGTTTTATTTTGTTACATTTTTGTGTAAGAGCTGTCGAATGAAATAAGTTGAGTTTTTTACTTCCCTTTGTTCCCTTTTCTTTGTTTCGAACTTTTTGCACTACTTAGTTGATTACATAATTGCGTCATTGGACGGTTAGAGAAAGAATTTCTTTCCACCTCTAAGAGGTATGTTAATTAAAATTCCTTTAATGTAGTTATACGTTGATAAATTACAAATCTTGCTTCTTACTTATATTATAAATGCGAAAGTTTAGGTGAATGGATGGATGGATGGATGGATAGATGGATGTTTGTTAGAGTTTGTAGTATAAATGGCTGAACGGACCACGATGACATTTGGTATATATGTAGAGGATGGTCTGGAAGAACACATAGGCTACTCACTTTTGTTTTTTTAATTCCACACGGACGGAGTCACGGGCGAAAGCTAGTACAGAACAAAATGCCACTTTATTTTTAATTTTCGGAAATAACGAGAGACATCAATCAGTAATTAAATAAAAAACCAATGAGGTTCTATACTTCTGCGACAAAAAACAACATACGATTTCTTATCATCTAAGGCCTTTCGTACATATTTTGACCATAATGTACAGCTCAATTTTGATTCAAACATTTCTATTCTTTATCTCAATTTTAAATATTACTTACTTAAAATAATAGTAACGAAACACAATTTAAAAATGATATAACCACACACAATCAAAACCTACCGTGTCACAGTTTAAAGGCACTTTCACAGCACTGGCATACGATGTTTCCAACTCACTACTGCGCAAACGCAATAACTGCACCTCCCCCTACTAACCTGTCACTGATTCGTATGTTTCTGGTGAAGGTAGAGTTCTTGGTAATAATTATGTAATATTACTACTCAAGGCTTATCGTAAAAATATGTTACTAACTTCATTAATGATGAATCATATTTGCAGCTCTAAAATACACCGGATTGTGTGTAGGGTCACAATTTTTCTATGTGTAGACTAAATAAAATTGTTGTTTTTGATCTATTCCACCTTGCAACTTGTCCTTCTTTTTGACCTCGATTACTTTATTATAAAAACAGTGCATTAATATCCATTTTGGTCAACTGAATTGTTTTTTTTTTTGTAATGAAATCGTGGATACAAATAGTTAAATAACGCGTAGGAATCTTTTATGGAAATTCTTGGAACGTAAGTCGCCAGAATTTTTGGAATATGATAAAGTAAAGACAAAAAAAAAACTTAAGTGCCTACTGACCTTTCCAAAATGTTGCAACAATTGAATGTTGACGAAACATTCTAGCAGTCTTTAATACTAGTGAACAAATTACTTTGTCATCCTTGATATTCATATTAAAAAGACTATATGTGATGTTTTTAACATTGTTTCTGCTGTGGAAACTCAATGTTATAAATCTGGATTACATAATATATTTTTACTAAGGGTTTATGGGGATATTCATTTGCTTCTTCAGAGTACAAGTTAATGGAATAACAGAACAGTGGTAAAGCCCGCTTTAACATATTCGCACGAATGGGCCGGCTCGCCCCGTGTTATACCACGATCACACAGAAGACTGGCGTGAAGTGGGAGCAAATCCACGTTTCGTCTGATGAGTGTGGTACCGGCGGCTCAAATATGTTTCCTTTTTTTTCCCAGCCTTTTCTCATAAGAATATAATGAAAAGAGTACGTGGATTTCACGGTGGAGGAGACGCATAGAAAGAGAAATATCCTCCTCTGTTTATGAAGGGTTGACAACGCATCCGCTATTCCGAATGTCTATGGGCTGTGGTCGCTTCACCATTTTGGCTGATTCAGGTGTCCGCTTGCTCGTTTGCCACCTTAAAAAATATGACTCCTGACTCCATGGAATGATAGCAGAGTATGTATAAAGTCCTACTTTTATGTTTATTATTAAAATTTCATTAATAATAAGACTTAAATATAGTAGGTGAAAGTAATCCTCGTGGTCATATTGACAACGCGATACGGAAGTGTCGTAACAGATTGCATAATCTTAATGACGATGTCACCTGTTTACAAATGTCATATAAGCAGAACCCAGATACCGGAACCCAAAAGACGGGACTAATTAATGCAACTACTTTTTCCTTGTATTCAGAAATCTTCGTTAATGACCACTTTTGCTAATTACGTTTTTTTATTATTAGAATTTTGAGTACAATGAGATTGCAATTGAAAGAGGTTAATTTCTGTTAACATACATTTTAAAGAAATTACTTAAGTGTAATAATAAAAACGAATTAAACACCATCCTTTTAAGTCGGATATAAATATTATCAAATAATAATTGATAGCTCCTTTTTGTCGCGTAAAATATCACAAAAAAAATAACCTTAAAATTTTCCTGAAGATTAGTTGATCTAGTAGTACTAGTACTTGAGTTATATTCTTGGAATGTTTTATTAGGGTTTGCATAGTTTGGTGTTTAACTTTGTATTTATTTATAGTCGTTGAGACTTGTTGGATTTCATTAACAGTGCGCAATTAATAATTTCGAAGGCAAACAACCGAAAGTATAAGTTGCTATTGAATTCATCTAGGCGCTGTTTTGTTTATAAGGAGTTTGTTATCAAAGTAAACTTAACTTTATTCATAACTGACTCATTGAAAATGAGAATATTTCGAAGCAAACATATTTGTCGACGTATTTTCAAGAGTTCATTTAATTAAGTTTACTTTTAATTTAGTAATACAAGTGTTTGTTACTCAAGACGCTTTATAATTTAGATAAGTTGATAGAATTAAGTTAAGATTGGTACTTGGTATTGAGATATCTTAACAATGTCTCTTGTATTTTTAGTAATTATTTAAATATATAAAATACCTCCTGCTATTTGGAATTGTTAAAAACAAAAAAAAAACGCACCAATTTTACTTTTAACTTCTGCTTTATCTACAAGAAGAACTCAAAGTAACCACATCTTGTTTTATTTAGACTTTGTGCAACGATTTATCTAAATAAAACGCTTAGAGTCTGTACAATAACAAATTCGTCATACGATACGATGACTATTTAAAAAAAGCTAAGTTTCTTATTTATTTATGTGGGGTTGTGGCTCAATCAAATAAAAATAAACTCGTTAACTATCGCTGTTTTTAATATTTACACCATTTTACAAAAAAACACATCTTATTACATCGTCGTTCCTCTTTTTTCTCTCGACTCTCAACTTAAAACTAATTTTAAACGAACGTCAAAGTATAAAATTCGAAATCAATTAAAAAGAAAACATATTAAAAAGAAACATATTTAACCTCTTTATAACCTCCTTATCCTACAGCTCGGCCATCCTGCTTTAGTCTGCCCTCAGACTAACCATAAATCAAACTTAAAATTACACAAAATAACAAAATAAAACCGTTTCTACTAAGGAATAATTAAATTAAGGCCATCTTTTCATATAATCTACAGCTAAATGTGTTTTTCTCCCTTTCCTATTTGATACAACAGCCTATGCCTTCCTTCTTCCCAGCTTTCCTGCAAGATAATAAACATGGTACACACATTAAAATTACTTCTCCGATTTTGCTGTCCAATTTCCTGATAATATATCCTTTCTTTACAATGTCCTTTATTTTCTTTTTTACGGAGTGTCTCACACCATGAGTCCTCATAATAATTTCCTGCTTCATGAGTTCGGGTACAACTTCTGCTTCATCTACACCTTTATAAATAACCTCATTCTCCTTAACATAATCATCATAATCATTTCGTTTCAAAATTTCTCCTATAACTTGCAACGCATCATCGTCTTCTTGTGCTTGTAATTCGCTGTCAACATAACATATGTTCTTACTTAACACATCAACATTTCGCATCGTATCACCTGTTGGATATTCGTCTTTCACCATTTTTTGACTTATTTCTAGTCCATAATCCACGGCTATCTGCAATACATCCTCAAGTCTTCTTATTCCGTCGTCCTCATTTTCTTTAGATAAATAATCATCAAACGGCTGTTTTACCACCTTCTCGTCTATTATATCCAATGTTGGTCGTCGTGTCACCGGTATGTCATCTTTTAATACTATTTTCAACTTAATTGGAGCATCTTTTACCTTTAGAGGCTTGTACCGACTTACAATGTCTTCCACCGCTGTATCCCTATCGTCGCTACTGAAAGATACACATATTTCACGTTGGTAAGAATCATCATAATATTGTGGCCTTATTTCAATTACACCTTTATCAACAATAGCAATGGTATTACTCAAAAACGGCTGTCCTAAAATAACATCATATGGCATTGCGCCTGTAGGAACTATATAAAAATAAACTCTGTAACAATGTTTGTCAATAATTAAATCTGTATCAAACTTCCCTACCGAATATATCTGACAAGAGCCTAATCCCGTTAACAACATTTTCTCATATTTGTATTCCGTATTTAGTTTAGAAAATAACTCAAATGAAATTAAATTTAAATCACTACCTGTGTCAACTAAACAATTCGTTGTAAAATCGCCTATTTTTACCTGTTTTACACTTTTATTCGCCATCGGACTATTATTGTTTACATTTAATACCTGTTGACATTCGTGACGTTGATTGCTGTCATTGTCACACTCTCCGTGAACGAACATTGACCGATCCGGATGACACTTCCTGTCATTTCTGCTACCGCTCGCGCCTGCGCCGTGAGCTTGTGTCTTCATCGCTGCCATCTGACAATCTTTACCAATGTGACCAAAACTATTACATTTGAAACATTTCACTCCTTGTTTGCATGAATTTGATAAATGCCCTGCCTCACCACACTTATAACATCGTAGCGTTTTTCTAAAATCAGATTCCACTGTTCTTGACCTCACTGAATTTTGACGCATTTCAAACTCCTGCTTCTGTTTCTGTTTAAAGGTTTCGTACAGGTTCAATTTCTCTTTTAAAACTGGATACGTCGTTATACCGTAGAGTAAAATTTTGTTTGCCTCGTAATCATCTATTCCATCTATTATATATTGTATAGACACATAATCTGGGAATTTGGCCCTCTTTCCCAACTCTTTCATTATCAACATATATTGATAATGCGTCTCGTTCGGCCGTTTTTTCCTTCCACTCATCATCTCATGCATTTCTTTACAATTTATAGATTCAGGGAATTCTTTAAGTAAAGCTGCTTTTAGATCCTCGTACGTGCCGAAAGGTTTCTCCGTCTTCGCCCATAGTTCTGCGGTGCCGGACAAACAGCGCCGGGCTATTACTAATTTTTGCTGCGGGTTCCACGCAAAGATTTGCGCATTATCTTCAATATCTTGCGCCCACCTGGATGCAGTATAGGTAACATCGTCTCCGGTAAATTTTGGTAACGAATCTATTGCCAAAAATGGATTCCCAAAGCCCTCAATCATCATCGTTTTAATCTTCTTAACAAAAATTCGTCGTTGTCGTCGTACTCCTTTTTGATGATCGGTAATATCCCGGACGAGATTTTGTGGGGTTGTGGCTCGATCAAATAAAAATAAACTCGTTAACTATCGCTGTTTTTAATATTTACACCATTTTACAAAAAACACATCTTATTACATCGTCGTTCCTCTTTTTTCTCTGACTCCCAACTTCAAACTCATTATAAACGAACGTCAAAATATAAAATTCGAAATCAATTAAAAAGAAAACATATTAAAAAGAAACATATTTAACCTCTTATAACCTCCTTATCCTACAGCTCGGCCATCCTGCTTTAGTCTGCCCTCAGACTAACAATAAATCAAACTTAAAATTACATAAAATAACAAAACTAAACTAAAACAAAATCGTTACTACTAAGGAATAATCAAATTAAGGCCATCTTTTCATATAAT